TTACAATTATATTTATTATAAGACACTAATGTTAGGCCTTTTACCTTTTTGGCACTACAATTTTATCAAGTCTCTTAAGGATTTTCAAAAATTAAAAGAGTGTTTAATAATAGCATTCCAACCACACTACACACCTATCACATCCATTTCGCTCAATTGACCTGCTGGAATACAACAAACACAGCAGTGATTGGAACACTATTTATGTAAGCAATCTGATACAACAGTTGTTATGGTGTGTACGCCATATAAAAGCTGGTGAAGAATGATTAGGCCTATTACATTTTTAAACATTACGTTCATTAATCTAGTCCCTTAGTTAAATATTTTCATTACAAAAACAAACAGTGAACTACATTTTAATCTGTAATTTTCTGATGGAAAAAATAATAATTTTACATGCAAGGAAACATGATCATCTTTTAATGATATGGTCACGATGCCAAATCATCTCGCTACAAGAATTGGACTATGAGGCATAAGAATGACTTGATTGCTAGGATAATAAATTCAAATAGAAAGTTTGGTATATCGCTTTTTATTTAGCGCTAGAAAGTAAGTCCTGCTTTAATTGTGAGTTGCAGGTTCGAATCCCTGTCGCCGAACACGCTTGTCCTTTCAGTCGTGGGGTGTTATAATGTACGGTCAAGCCCACTATTCGTTTGCGGTAGGTGGTGGTGACTAGCTGCCTTTCCTTTTGTCTATCATTGTTAAATTTGGGATGGCTACCGCAGACATCCCTCGTGTAGCTTTGCGCGAAATTCAAACAAAACCGATGACCGTCTGTTGTGTAACATTTCTCTTAACTTTGGAATGTGTTTGCAGAAAAATATTATGTTTCTGGCTCTTGTGCTTTGTCTTTAAACTTTTTTTTTTCATTCTCTATTAATTTGTGAACGATAATATTTATTGGTTTTACAGATCTTTTTTGTTGGCGGATTTATCTTGAAATAGACGAACAACTGCATATATATAATAACTAGCCTCATGACTACCCTTAATAGTTGATTTGTTGACAGTCCCCTAGTATCTGTCCCGATGACAACTTATATTAAATGTCTTCTTGATAATCCCTAGCTCCCTCTCCCCTCCATCCAGTGGCACAGCAGTATATTTGCGGACTTGCAACGTTTTTTCGATACTCGTAGTGGGCAGGGCAGAACACAAATAGCCAATTGTGTTGTTGTGCGCTTAATTACAAACAAGGACAATTTCTAAAGCTGTTTTAAAATTGTTTTTGTCAATTTTTAAGAATTCCATTTTAAAATAACTTTCTTAACATATCTTAAGAATTTTTGAATAAAATTTGAGATGTTCCCCCCGTTGTCATCACGTTATGAATTGCTTGATTTGCATTTTAAATAATCATTATTTGATTATATTTAATTATTATAGTAAATATTCTTTCTCCAGTTAATTATACAACACACGGACTAAGCGGCCATGCAAGAGACTCCTAAGGGCTAACCACAGTCATCCTGCTAACCAGGGGTAGCTGCAGTCGTTCAACAGTGCCTACAGCATCTTTACTTATCCTTAACCGACTAGTGGGATTAACTGTCACAGTTATCCACAACTGAAAGTACAGCGCATGTTCATCGAAATATCGCGGCTCGAACCTCGGACCTCTCGATACGCAGCCCGTTACGTCGGTTTCCGTTTCTTTATGGTAAGCGTACACTGGCTTAACGTCTATCACCATCACAAGCACAATTTATACAAGATGCCAGTTATATTAGGGCGAAAGATGAGTTTGAGAACTGTCATGATATTTTGAAAATAACCATCCTTACATAAATGTAATCTTTAGGATTTTACAATATTCTTAAGTGATTAAACAACAAAAGACTTGTGTTGGAAGAACTTTTTAGAAGATGTTTAGATTTTTTTTCTCGAGAGAGAGAGAGAAAAAGATGAATCAATAAACGCTTAATGTAATATATGTATTCGTATTCTACATAAAGTTGAACTAATATTATATTTTGTCCAATACAGAATATATTTTGCTAAGTCTAATAGTGTCATCCTTTGCCAAAATTAATTAATTTTGAAATCAGAAAATGAGCCCTTAATATGTGTCGTGCGTATCGGGTTGCGGATCGAAAGATCCAAATTTCAAGACGCGATGGTACTAATACATGTTTTTGTAAGGGTATGAAAGAACGTTATCAAACCTGCCAAAACACCAACACAAATAAACCAGTATTTTATAGTATTTAGAATCAAGTTAAATATGTCCATATGGGTCAGACGTACAACGCTAAAATCCGCGGTACGATTCCCCGCGGTGGCCAGAATACAAATAACCCATCACGCTAAAATAAACAAACAATCTTCTTGAGTGTGTTCTGTTCATTCCGGTGATATGATGATAGACAAAAGCTTCCACCAATCTCATCGGGTGTGTTCGTTTCTGTAACATAGTGACAGCATTAAGCTATGGCTCCTTTGATGTGTTCATTTCTGGGACATAGTGACAACATTAAGCTTCCAGTCACCATGGGCATGTTCGTTTCTGTAACACAGTGACAGCATTAAGCTCTGGCTCCTTTGATGTGTTCGTTTCTGTAACACAGTGACAGCATTAAGCTATGGCTCCTTTGATGTGTTCGTTTCTGTAACACAGTGACAGCATTAAGCTATGGCTCCTTTGATGTGTTCATTTCTGGGACATAGTGACAACATTAGGTTTCCAGTCTCCTTCGGCATGTTCATTCCTGGGACATAGTGACAACATTAAGCTTCCAGTCTCCTTGGGCATGTTCATTCCTGGGACATATGGACAACATTAAGCTTCCAGTCTCCTTCGGCATGTCCATTCCTGGGACATAGTGACAACATTAATCTTCCAGTCTTCTTGGGCATGTTCATTCCTGGGACATAATGACAACATTAAGCTTCCAGTCTTCTTGGGCATGTTCATTCCTGGGACATAATGACAACATTAAGCTTCGTGGAAAAGTCTACCGAACGAGGCTGTTTAAAAGCGACACACATAATAGGGAGTGACTCTTTATTGAGACTATGTGAATGCATTGGAATTATTTAGCTGTATTATTAGTTTCTTGTAGTTTATCACTGACATTCTTTAGCTATATATTTAGTCTCTTGTAGTTTATCACTGACATTATTTAGCTGTATTATTAGTATCTTGTAGTTTATCACTGGTATCCTTTAGCTGTATTATTAGTATCTTGTAGTTTATCACTGACATTCTTTAGCTATATATTTAGTCTCTTGTAGTTTATCACTGACATTATTTAGCTGTATTATTAGTATCTTGTAGTTTATCACTGGTATCCTTTAGCTGTATTATTAGTCTCTTGTAGTTTATCACTGACATTATTTAGCTGTATTATTAGTATCTTGTAG